CCTTTGCCTGACCCCGCCCCTCCCTCTGCCTGACCCCGCCCATGGCCCTGACCGTGTCTCTCTCTCCGCAGAGATCGAGTGTCTGGTGGAGGTCCCCGCCCCACAGGACTACTGGGGCCCCCTGTTTGCTGTCTGCATCTTCCTCTTCTCCTTCATCATCCCCGTGTTCATCATTTCCGTCTGCTACAGCCTCATGATCCGGCGGCTGCGCGGCGTCCGCCTGCTCTCCGGGTCCCGTGAGAAGGACCGGAACCTGCGGCGCATCACGCGGCTGGTGCTGGTGGTGGTGGCAGTGTTCGTGGGCTGCTGGACGCCTGTCCAGGTCTTTGTGCTGGTTCAAGGGCTGGGGGTTCAGCCGGGCAGTGAGACCGCAGTGGCTATCCTGCGTTTCTGCACAGCCCTCGGCTACGTGAACAGCTGCCTCAATCCCATCCTCTACGCCTTCCTGGACGAGAACTTCAAGGCCTGCTTCCGGAAGTTCTGCTGCGCGTCTGCCCTGCGCCGCGAGGTGCCGGTGTCTGACCGTGTGCGCAGCATTGCCAAGGATGTGGCCCTCGCTTGCAAGACCTCTGAGACAGTACCGCGGCCCGCATGACTAGGCGTGGACCTGCCCATGGTGTCTGTCAGCCCGCAGAGCCCGTCCACACCCAACACGGAGCTCACCCAGGTCACTGCTCTCTAGGCTGAGGCACCTGAGCCCTGAGCATTACCAGCCCTGGCCGCTTTCCCTCTGGCCCAGAGAGCCTGGTGACGTCACGGGACAGGTCAGAGCATTAGGGCTTCCTCTTGGACCCGGTCACACTAAATCTTCCCTCCAGGTGCAGTGGGGGCTCAAGGACCCACCAGTGAGTATGCCTGGCGCTTCATGGGACTCTACCGGCCTCTCCCCTGCTGCACCCTCTGGGTGGGCACACACCTGGAGGTGTGCCCCTGCGCTGTGTGCTGTTGTCATGGAAATGCCGTGTCTCCTCAGGCAGCTGGACATGCTTGACGCTGCCTGGGGGAGCCCAGCAGGCATCTCGGGGCGCTGGGACTCGCCCTGAGCTTGGAGCTGCTGATGTGGACTTGCCTGAGCTGCGTACTAGAGCCGCTTAATTGCCCCGACTCCCAGGTCCCTTCAGATGCTGCTCAGCGAGCCTTTTCCCTCCAGAAGGGCAATGAACCATCTTGCGCAGGGGTGGCCTTCCAAGTGTGCGGAGGCTGCTGGGGGGCATCACGTGACCACCACAGGCTGTTCTGTCATTCTTAAAGCGGCCCTGTACCTTGTCTTGGTTGCTTGGTGCCAGGGGGTCCGTGTGACTTACCCAGGCCCTCCCTCATAGTCTCTCTTTTCTTTGAAATCAGAGGTGAGCTGCTCTGCAGCTGGCAGGACCCTGCATCCTATCTGGGTCCTGGTGGCCTTGGAAGAGTGGCAGCCACAATGGGTTTTGCTCTGCATCCCCAGTGACTGACCCCCTGCTTTATTTACAGGTGTCTGTGGGGCAGCCTGAACGTTCCGCTGCCAGGACTTGTCTTAAGCTGAGCCAAATCAGACGGTTTCACCTTCAGAGCCGGGTTAAGAGTGAGGCCAAGCTGTGAGGACTTTCTGGGCTGTGGGGACACTGACACTGGTGTGTGTGTGGGGTGTCTCCCTGCTGTGGTCACTGGAGAAGCACCGTCCCCAAGCTGCAGATGGAAGCTGCGGGTTCCCGCAACATTGAGGAGACTCCATTCCGCCTCCACCTGTGAGCGGAGCGCAGCCCTGGCCATGTGGCCTTAGGCGCCTGTAAAGGACAGGAAGTGCTGACCCTGGGCTGGCTTCTGCTTGGGGAGCCCTGGCCCGCAGGGCTGTTCCTGAGGACTTGCACCTCCCTAGCTTCAGTGCTTTCTTATCAAGGCTGAAAGATTTGTGAACCTGCCTGCCTGTGCAACATAGCTCATGTATTTGTGCATGCAACAAGTGTCACTGCCCCTGCACGGAACCAACCTGAACCTAGGACCCCAACGTGGGGCCATAATAAAACCCTGCCCACTGACCTGGTGTTTCCAACGCCTGCGGGCGGGACTGTTGGGGTAACTTCTCTGGAGTTAGCGTGTGGGGCCCTCCCACCTGCTCTGTGCTTTTCACCTGGCCAGGCTCTGTCCTTAGTGGCGGGGCCCCCGGAGGCTCCAACTTTGGTAGGGGGTGTGAGTAGTTCCTGATGTGTTGGGGGGGGGCTGTTAATTTGTCTTCAGCACTAACAAATACCCTCTCCCTAAACAACCAGCCTCTGCACTCTCCCCTGCAATGAGAGGTTCCCTGTGGATCCAGTGTGTGGGGTATAAGTTTTCTTCACCCCATTTCGTCTTAGCAAGCCATCCATCCTGGCCCTGTCCTTCCTTGAGCAGATCCAAGGGGAATTTTGGTGAAAGATGGACAGAACAGCTTCCCTCACTGCCTTGAAAGGCAGGAGCCTCCTGGCTCGTGTGTGGGGGCCCAGTTCAGCCCACGCTGACCCTATCAGAGACAGGGGCTTCGGAGGGGTGGTGAGGGCGACCTTGGGCCTCAGTGCTTGGGCACAGGCAGACGGACCAAGCAAGATGCGGATGTACACAAATTTTAATGCAGGCACTTCGCTGTTGAAACAAAAATGTAGCATCAAGGGAAAGTTTGGAAGGAATGTGCCACTCGGCGGCAGTTAGTTGAAGGGCGCTCAGGACATGGTGTAGCTCCCAGAGGAGGGGGCTCGATCGCGGGTCCTGGAGGCTGTGACCGTCCCACCACACAGGCTGCGCGTCCGGGACGACTCCGCAGCGAGCATCTGCGCGGACGGGCCAGGCCAGGCCAGGCCAGGCCAGGCTCCGGTGAAGGGCAAGGAACGGCAGTGGCCCCCCTGCTCTCCAGAACTGTGCCCGCCTGCGCTCCGCCCTCACGCGGTTCGGACTTTTAGTGCGGACGCCGTCCCCGCCTTCAGGCCCNTGTCCCTGTGCGTGTGTGTGTGGCTCTCTGACAGTGGCTGCCCGTGGGGGTGCCACGTGCCTGCTGGGCCATACACTCTGTGCTGCAGGCCTCGGCTGGGGGGGGGGCGCCAGGCGCTGTGGTCACGTGTGCCTGTCCCCTCACATACAGGTGGCAGCATGGAGACCCTCTTCCCCGCCCCACTCTGGGAGGTTCTCTACAACAGCCACCTGCAGGACAACCTGTCCCTCGTGAGCCCCAACCACAGCTTGCCACCCCACCTGCTGCTCAATGCCAGCCACGGTGCCTTCCTGTCCCTCGGACTCAAGGTCACCATCGTGGGGCTCTACCTGGCTGTGTGCATAGGGGGACTGCTGGGAAACAGCCTCGTCATGTATGTCATCCTCAGGTAAGCTGGGCCCCGATTGGTGAGGCTCACACAGCTTCAAGGGGAAAATGGGGCAGGTGGGGATTTCCTGCTCCCCTATTCAATTCCTGGTTGTCTTTTTATGGAGCAGAGCCAGCCCTGAGGCCCTGGACGCTTGACTCCTCCAGGTGGGGCACCTAGATAGGGAGAGAGGGACCAGCCCTGCTCTGGCCAAGTCCCAGTAGGAAAAGGGGGTGCGGCTCTGTCCCTGACGGAGTGTCACCCTGAGTCCTGACAGATGACGTGCCGCTCCTGATCTGAGCCAGGGGCCAGGCTCCTAGAAAGCTGCTGCGTGAGGACTCATGGGTCCTGCAGCGACCCTGAGAGGCAGCTCTTGTCAGCCCACTGCAGGGCTGGTCCCCAGGCAGGCCGGCAGGCGGCAGAAGCCCCTTCCCCTTGGCTCCAGGGCTCCTGTTTACTGCTGGCGTCCAGGCTGGCTCCAGCCTCTGCTGGTGCTCAGGATGAGAAAGCTTGTGGGGCCAAGAGGGGCAGCCAGGCTGCAGGACTGGGCTGGGGCGGGGGTGGGGGTGTGGGTGCATTTGATATGACAACATTTCTGTCCCACTGAAGAGTTTGATGTTCTCGGTACTCATGGAGGTGGGGCCTGCTTG